ATTTTTTTCCCATTCTGTGTCAAGTTTCATTTAAATTAAATATAAAAATCGAATTATGCCAACCCTACTTATTTTAGCTCATGGAAATGCCTTCACATGGCCATCAGTTACCCTGTTGAATTTCATTGCTATAAGATATAATTGATGTGAAGACTTAAGCAGCATTTTAAAAGGATTATTGTATTCTAATTTATTCTTGTCCTCTTTCCTCTGTCGTGTTCTAATTTGTTTATCCCCATCTCGATGACAGTGATGGTGATGCTTAGCTGTTATATAGTGTTTTAATCTTTAGATCTCAAAGTGCTTTACAAAGGTGGTTTGCAATTTTATCCCTATTTTACAGAGAGGGAAAGTGAGGCATCAGAAGGGGGTGATGTGACTTGTGCAAGGTTACCCAGCAGGCAGGTGGCAGAGCCAGGAATTCAACCTCTGGTCTCCTGAGTTCCAGATCAATGCCCTGTCCAGGCTCTACAGAGTTACGAACACCTCAGAGGTTCTACTATATTGCATCTCATTATCTAAGGATGATGAGAATATTCATAATTACATTAGCAAGGCTTCTAGATGTCTGGGCTGGCTATAAATTTGCCTGCTTTGGGGTATAGACCAAGCCTCTAGCCAATGGAAGAAAGGAAGAATTTTTCCATAGAGCCAGATTATCCCACTTCCGAGGGTTTTGTGCCTTCCCCAGTGTCATTGTTTGGACACTTGCAGCAAGAGGAGACTGTTTTGAATCTGGCCTGATCCAGCCAGGGAACACCTGTAGTTCTAAGAAAAGTTGTTGGCAAACACTGAATAGGTTTTTGTGCTGCCAGTGGGTGTGTGCAAAACCCTCAAAGATTGTTTCGTTGAGTTGTGCCAGAGGCACCCAGAACATCCACAGACAACTGTCTCACTTTTAAGTGTCTTATGTCTCTCTGTGTTTCTGAGTCACTGGGTGGGTTTCCTGAGGAATCTGGTAATATTGGGGAGTAATTAATGCCCACCCTCAACACCCCTAGACTCTGAAATTTTGTCCCCTAGGGAAAGGGAAAATGTTTGGTTTTACCTCTTTTGGGAGGCATGGGTGTGATGGGTGGGACCCACTTGGATGTCATGTAGGGTGCTGGGACACCCCTGAATCAGACTGTTCTGCCAGCCTGGGACCCCTGAAACCCGGTCCTGCTAAACCAGGCACTAAAGCGTCCTCCAATAAAGTTGACAGGGGGGCCACACCCAGCTGCACAGAGAGGCAGAGAGCTGCTCTGAGAAGGTTCATCTTAAGGGGCTTTCCATAGTACCCAGATGCCCACCTCCCTTTGGAGTACAAGCCCAAAAGTATATGAAATTCGCCTCTTCCCTCAGTGTGGAAGAGAGTATGCACAGTTTCCCCTCACACCGCGACCACCCCAGTTAGAAAACACATAAATTGGGTTATATTATAAACCAGAAATAAGATTATTAAATATGAAAAGGTGTATTTTAGGTGATCAAAGAGGTAGCAAAAAACCCCCAACAAAGGAGGTTACTAGGAAAATAATGCAAAGCAGGCAATCTAAGCTAGTTACAAACTGGTTACAAATAATAATTTCTCCCCCTAGTTATTGTTTCAGGTAGAGTCCATCACAGGACAGGTAACTCTTAGGGCAGTGGTTCTCAAACTTGGGCCGCCGCTTGTTCAGGGAAAGCCCCTGCTGGGCCCGGCCGGTTTATCTACCTGCCGTTTCCGCAGGTTTGGCTGATCGTGGCTCCCACTGGCCACGGTTTGCTGCTCCAGGCCAATGGGGGCAGCGGGAAGTGGCGGCCAGGACAAACCTCAGCCTGTGCCTCTTTCTGCAGCTTCCAGATTGCAATAACCACCGGCTTCTCCACTGGCAGGGCAGCTCTCAATCTCGTGTCCTTGCTCTGCAGGGTGAGGACGAGCTCAGCACACAGTCCCATGAATGTGGCTTTCCTCATGCAAAAGTTCTGGAGCCACTGCTCATCATCCCAGACGTGCATCAGGATGTGATCCCACCACTTGGTGCTTGTTTCCCGAGCCGAAAGCGGCATTTCACGATGGTGAGTGTGACGGTTTGGATCACAGAAAACCCCTTGGGAACTGCCAGCTGATGTGCTGAGACTACCTCTGAGCCGTTTTTCCTGCCAGAATGAGATTTCAGAACACTGCCTGGTTTGAGCCAGACATGCTTGCTGGCTACAAACACAGACCCAGGTCTGAACCACATCACACAAACTGCAAGCTTAACTGAAAGTAGCTTAAGAAGTGTTCCTATCTCTTACACTCAGATGCCCAACTCCCAGTGGGGTCCAAATCCCAAACAAATCTGTTTTACCCTCTGTAAAGCTTATACAGGGTAAACTCATAAATTGTTCGCCCTCTATAACACTGATAGAGAGATATGCACAGCTGTTTCGCCCTCCTTCCCCAGGTATTAATACATACTCTGGGTTAATTAGTAGGTAAAAAGTGATTTTATTAAATACAAAAAGTAGGATTTAAGTGGTTCCAAATGGTGACAGACAGAACAAAGTGATTTACCAAGCAAAATAAAATAGAACACGCAAGTCTATGCCTAATATTGTATGAAAACTGAATACAGATAAAACCTCACCCTCAGCGATGTTCCAGTAAGCTTCCTTTTACAGACTAGTCTCCTTCTAGTCTGGGTCCAGCAATCACTCACACCCCCTGTGGTTACTGTCCTTTGTTCCAGTTTCTTTCAGGTATGTTTGGGGGTGGAGAGGCTATCTCTTGAGGCAGCTGAAGACAAAATGGAGGGGTCGCCCAGGGGTTTAAATAGACTTTCTCTTGTGGGTGGACACCCCTCCCTCCCCCTGTGTAGAATCCCAGCTACAAGATGGAGTTTTGGAGTCACATGGGCAAGTCACATGTCTAGGCATGACTCAGAAATTACAGGTAGCAGCCATGGTTCACAGGGTACAAAATATATTGGAAGGACATCACAGGTCCTGCTGGTGAGGCAGCGGTACTATATATGAAAGAAAGCACAGAATCAAATGAAGTAAAAATTGTAAATGAACCAAACTGTACCATAGACTCTCTATGGATAGTAATTCCATGCTTGAATAATAAGAATATAGCAGTAGGGATATATTACAGACCACCTGACCAGAATGGTTGTATTGACTGTGAGATGCTCAGGAGATTAGAGAGTCTATTAAAATAAAAAAA